AACGCTAAAATTTACACAAAGCTGACTAAGGGTTCAAGGTATCAAAATGCTAGAAAAAATAAAATTTTAAAGTAGCAATGGCTAGCAAAGAGTATCAAAAGGCTAGCTAAAACTGAAAGTAGCAAAAGGCTGGCTAAAAGTTAATATAGCAAAAAGATAGCTAAACGATACAAATAAATAAAGCTAAGGGCTCAGTAGCGAAAGGCTAGCAAAACATTAAAAGTAACAACGGCTACTTTAAAAAATGTTTAAAATGTTAAAACTAGCAGAACTTTAGCTAATAACAGCATAAGAAGACAACACAGTCAGTTATGAAGTAGATTTAAAAGGGAACAATGTTTTTCAAGGAACTGAAGAAGTTTGTTTTTCTAAGGGGAAATATGTGTAAATAAATTAAAATATTTTTAAAAAAAGAAAGTTACATAAACTTAAAACCATAGCTGAATGAGCTGAAAGTTTTAATATATGGACAAATAAATTGACACTGAGCATGCAGAATTAGACGTCAAAACGGCTTTTAGCTACAATTTTGTTACTTTAAAAATTTTCCAACCAATGGCTAATTTTAGTTTTTACATACTCCTTTTCTACTTCTAGCATTTAGCTACTTTTAGTAAGTCTTTAGCTAGTTTTAGCTTCTAGCTTTGATTTTTCTACCTTTAGCTTTTAGTTAATATTCCTGCTGTGTTTACATAGCCTTTTGACAGTTTTAGCTTTTAGCTATGATTTTTCTGCTTTTGGCTACTGTTCTGCTACTTTTATGTTTTGTGACTTTTTTTCAGTTTTAGTGAGCCTTTAGGTACTTTTAGCTGTTTTACTGGTTTTAGCTAGCATGTTGCTACTTTAGCTTTTAGCTATTGTTCTGCTACTTTTTGAGCTGGCTAGCTTTCTGTTACTTTTAGCTTCTAGCTATGTTTTTTTCTATTTATAGCATTTAAGCCAGTTCTAACAAATAGCTTTTTGTTAGCCTTTTGCTACTTTTAACTCCTAGCTACAATTCTGCTACTTTAAGGTGTTATAGCTAAACTTTTATTTTTAGCTAGCCTTTTGCTTCTTATAACATTTTGCCTCTTGTAGCTAGAAGTTTACTACTTATAGCGACTCCTTTATAACAAATATCATTTTACAAATTTTTGTTTTGTTAGCATTTTCTTCCATTAGCTTTTAGCTAGAGTTCTACTTCCTTTAACTTTAACAGCTCAGGTTTAGCTTCTTCAGCCGTCATTCGGCTCTGCGGTTTCACAGATTTTTTTCCTCAGTTTTTATTGCGTTCAGCGCTCATTAAATCACAGCGACCTGCGCCTCTCTGCACCTGTTTGTACGCGGCAGGTTGCCAAAGGAGTGGCAGCAGTTTGAAACAGTCGTAGTGAACTGTGACTCTAAAAATATTATAAGAGACGAAGAAGCTAAAGACGAACAAAGGCTCAGCCTGCTCTTCAGTTGTTTTTTCTCTTTCATAACGCAATGTTCAAAGTTCTCCCCCAACAGCAAAGTGACAGACAGGATAGCAATTAGCTCCCAGCGATGATGTCATAAGTGCCATTTGACTCGGAGCAGCAACGGTACTTTACATTTCTACATGCTCCTGACTTCCAGCTCTATTGTAGCACTTCCCGTGGAACATCCTGCAGCTGAAGCACGAGCCTAAATGTCCTGCATTGAGTCAGAAGCATGCATCATTTCCTGCAGGGGCGAATGTTTAATGCAGGAACAACAACAACCTTTTCCTTCAGCCTAAAGAAGGAAGTGACTTGATCAGAGCAAACATCTGGGATCGGTACAGCGTTGTTCTTCGTGCCGCTGCGTTCGTTCCGGGTGAATTCAGAGGTCAAACGTCAAACTGAACCTGCAGGAGGATGAATGAACCGATCACTGATTGCAACAGTTTCATGTTTACCTTTTGTGTCTTGGTGCCAAGTCGACTTCCTTTCATACTTCCACTGACCTTTCAGGTTGCGCCGCTTTCTTTTGTGACCATTGTTTGCGTCTTGCCTGTGGTTTCTTGGTTTATGGCTCGCACGACGGGTTGGCAAAGGCTCAAGAAGGACTTGCTGAACGTCTAATCTGTGCCAAGGCAACTGGCTTAGACGTCAACTTTTGTTGAAAGTGCGGTTTTGTTTTACACCGAAACACGGGATCGCACGCTGTTTTTAGACCGTGGCTTACGAACTGAAAAGACAAAAGAATTTCCTCACCGTGTCTTAAACCGTGTCAAGTAACAGTTCTGGAACAAAACGATGAGTGTTTGAAAGAAGATGGAGTACAAATATTTTAATATATGAGCTAAATCAGCTCATGGTGAAATGAGATTCCACGTCCCAAGAGTTGGCTTTGTAAGCTAAAGTCAGAGCGCCAAGGCCTTTAGCTGACGCCCATAGCCCTCGATCTGCACCCAACCTGCATGGCCCCTCCTGCAGGTGGTGGGCGCACAGGAAGGTGAACACGTGCTCGTTCGAGTTGAACCCAATCGGGTCCCTTGGGTAAGAGGCTTTGTCGCCAGACACTTGCTGATGATCTCCTTCTTCAGGCCTGGCTCCAAGGTGGGGCCTCTGTCACACACCTGTGTGAGGGGAATTGAGCTCTTTATTTCATGGGCAGCTGTGGCTGAGTGGTTAGAGCAGTCATCCACCAATGCAAGAGTCGGGGGTTCAATTCCACCAGCAGTCACGTGCTAAAGTGTCCCTGGGCAAAACACTGAATCCCTCATTGCCTTCGATGCGTGCCCCATCGGTGTATGAATGTGACAAAGCTCTGATTAATCTTTGTAGAGATCTAGTATAGAGCTGTATGAATGGGTAAATGAGGACCAAGATTATGCTGTAAAGAGTTTTTAGTATCTTGATAAGACAGAAAGATGCTGTGTAAGTACAGTCCATTTACCATTTATTGTCTTCTGTCCCAAGATCCAGCTTTGGTAAGCCAGGGTCACAGCGCCAAGGTCCCCACCTTCAGCCACTGCCCATGGCGTCATGCACCCAACTTACAATGCCCCTCCTGCAGGTGGTGGACCCACAGGACGGCAAAGCCATGTTGCTCCTTCGGGCTGAGCCTGACTGGGCCCCATGGGTAGAGACCTGGTCATCAGGTGCTGGCTCCAAGGTGGGGCACTGGTAACCCTCGTCCAGGCAAGGGACACTGAGCACCTTGTTTGTTTCTGTCCACAAGTCTTCTGAATTGCTCTTTGTCTGGCCGGTCACCTAGGACCAGTCTTCCTTGGGAGAAGACCCTACCAGGGGCGACAGCAGAGCTCCTAGGATCATTCAGGCACACAAACTCCTCCACCACGATAAGGAGGCAATTCAAGGAGGCGTGAACCGTGACCTGACTTCGGAACAACGGAAGATAAAGGATGGATTTTCTTTCGTTCATTTGAGCGTTGTGTATCTCTGGGTTTTGTTCATGAGCGAAGAAAGAATGAGGAATGGTCAGTGCAGCATCTGCAGTATTGCGTACTCTGTGCCGGTCTGTTGCGGTGAAGAGGGAGCTGAGCTGCGAGGCAAAGCTCTCTGTTTCTAAGTTGGTCTACATTTCTACCCTCACCTAAGGCCAGAAACTCAGGGATAGGACCAAAAGCATGAAATTGTGGATACAAGCAGTCAAGTTTTCTCCACAGGGTGGCTGGACTCTCCCTTAGAGATGGGGCGAGACTTTAATTTCTCCTGGAGAGACATGGAATAAGTAAAGCCGCTGTTCCTCCACATCCAGAGGAGCCAGCTGAGGTGGTTCAAACATCTGATAAGGATGGACCCTGGATGCCTCCCTTAAGAAGGTGTTCCAGGCATGTCCAACTGAAAGGAGACCCTGAGGAAGACCAGCGGAAAGACCAAGTCTCTCGGCTGGAAACATGTTGGGAGTCCTCGTGGAAGAGGTGGCTCTGGACCTCCCTGCTCAACCGCTGCCCCTGATACCCGACTCTGGAACAAGTGGAGGATGATGGATGATGGATTTGATCGTGAGAACCTGAGCATGATGAATGAATGTTGAATTTACAGAGCTGTGGTTGTTTTACATCGCTTTATAATGTAGCTGTTCTTGTTTCATTTTTATTTCATTTCTTTTATTTAAGTCTTCATTTTATATAGTTTTATATGACTGTCTATTATTGTCTGTACCTCATCTGTGTTCTTTGTTTAAATCAGGTCTCTCTTGTAAATGAGTCCTCGAGGCTCATTGAGACTAAACCTGTCAAAAAAAACAAAGGTTGAATGAATGTAGCTGTTTCGGTCAAATCTCAAAAATAATGTTTTGGAGTAACTTTGTACTTAAAGTATGTGTTGGAGCTGACTCTCAGCTACTACCACGCAAATATTTACCTCATTATCTGTAAAGTTGACTGTTGAGGCCATTTTTGTGCGTCCTAATGTCATTTGGCTGCGGCTGGCTTCTTGAATTGGATTGATATTCTACAAAAATACCTCTTGTCAGAGATATAAACATTTGATATAAAAATAAGGTGTGCTACAAAATAACTGTACTAGTTTATGTGGCGCTACAGCGAAGTGTTATTAAAATACCAACGAAGAAGACTTTTAGCGAATCAGCAGAGCCGTTGGATTGACGTCCAGCAGACCCCGCCCCCTGTTTTTGACGCTTACCCGCGCTTCCATCAAAGATTGTCTATTCTTAAAGATGGCTTACGCTGTTAAAAAAAAAGCACAATAAACAATATTACATCGTCAATATCCGCTTGTTTATGAAATTATAAATTAGGAAAACTTATTAATATAAAATTAGGGGCTTTTTATCTATAAGTAAAACGGATAATACTTCTGTTTAAACGTCAGCTGTACTTTTGCCGACTGTGAAATTTTATGTAGGAGTGAGACATCGTATTTGTTTGTATTCTGCGTCTGTGTCTGGCCGCGGCTCGTGCGACTTGTGAGAGTTGATCCGATCAAGATTCAGGCTCGTTTCGGGCCCTAAATCGCACGGTTTCGTACTCACAACCACCGGGTTCCGTGTAACTCATCTGTAAACCCGTCTGCGGCTCCGCTGCGACCATGGCCGGAGTTATCCGGAGGCTCGACGAGACGGTCGTCAACCGAATCGCAGCGGGAGAAGTGATTCAGCGTCCGGCCAACGCTGTCAAAGAAATGCTGGAGAACTGGTCAGAAAGCTAAAAACATACAAGCTAAAGCTAATTAAGCTAAATAACAGACAATAACACTGATCCTGTTTACAATTGTTACTCTTCCTACTTCCAGTTCTTTCACTATTCCGTACATTTTTCAGCATCTTGTTTCATTATTTTGTTCCATTTCTTCAAATCACGAATCAAACCGTTCAGCTCTTTCAGGACAATCCTGCTGTGACCTTTGGTGTAACTTTAGCTTTTTGAAACATTTAGCCTTTTCTGACATTTTTTTCTCTCTCATAGAAAATGAATTGAGCTCATTTTACATCCTCAACTCTTTTTATCTGTTTACAACCTTTAACATTTTGTTCTGCTTCAGCTTCTTTCAACATCTTTGCAAATTTAAACTTTTTTTCAGCTACTTTCAGCTAATTTCAGCAGTTTTGTTTCAGCCGTTTTGTCATCCTTTCACATTCTTTCTGCTAACTTCAACATTTTTGTGCTTCTACTTTCGGCTGAGTTCAGCATGTTATGATCCTTTCAGCTTGTTTCTGTAAGTTTCAGCCTTTTCTGCTATTTCAGCTACTATTTAGCTGTTTTTATAATTTTTCAGCCAACGCCACATTTTTTGCACTCATTTTTGCTTCTTTCAACGTAATTGGGCAGAATTGTGCTCTCTTCACTTCCTTCTTGTAATTTAAACTTCTTTCTGCCTTTTTAGCACTTTTCAGATTTTTTTGTGCTAATTTCAGCTTTTCCAGATAATTTCCACTTTTTTTCTGCTTATTTCTTTTTCTTTCATCCATATTGGGCAAACATGTTCTTTCTGCTTTCTTCTGCTAATTTAAGCTTGTTCTACCTTTTCAGCTACTTTTTTAAAGCATTTTTAAGCTAATTTCGGCTGTTTTCAGAAAAATTCATTTTCTTCTTGGTAATTTCTGCTACTTTCAGTCTAATTACTGGTAACTTATTTATGCTCCTTTCAGCTTTTTCTGCTGTTTCAGCTAGTTTAGTTGTATTTGTGCTAAATTTAGCTTTTTCAGCTAATTCTACATTTTTTAGCTCATTTCAGCGCCTTCCCCTTCCTTCTGGTAATTTAAGCTTTTGTCTACCTTTTTATCTACTTTCCGCAGTTTTTTGTTGCTAAATTTAGCTTTTTTAAACAAATTTCCTATTTTTTGTTCTATTTTCAGCTAATTCAATAAGTATGTGCTCGTTCCGATAACTTAGACTTGTTCTTTCACTTCTGCTAACTTTCAGAATGTTGTAGCTAATTTCAGCTGTTTTTCAGCAAGTTCTTCTGCTGCGTTTTTACAGGAAATACGTTTCTCCAGTTGCCGTCTTTGTCGATGTTAGGAGGTTTAAAGCCGAACGATGGCAGTAGCTGTCGCTCTTTGACCTTTGCTGCTGCGTAACAAGTTTATTTTTATTTATTTCAGTTTGGATGCCAAGTCCACGAATATTCAGGTGACGGTGAAGGACGGAGGACTGAAACTGCTTCAGATTCAGGACAACGGGACCGGTATCAGGGTGAGTCGACCAGATTAAAAAATAAATCAAGGCGGTGTCTCGCTGGGTTTGGGGATTCTCCAGAGTCTGAGGACACTGACGGGAGACGACTGTGGACATGAAAAGTCATTAAGGTCGTTCAGCGCAGGGTCGGCTGTCCTCGACCCTCACTAGAAGATCTGCAGAGCTCCTGCTGTCTCAGGAACGTCAGGAAAGTCCTTCGGGACCCGTCACGCCCAGGACCTTCGGGACCCTTCACGCCCAGGACCTTCGGGACCCGTCACGCCCAGGACCTTCGGGACCCGTCACGCCCAGGACCTTCGGGACCCGTCACGCCCAGGACCTTCGGGACCCTTCACGCCCAGGACCTTCGGGAACTGTCACGCCCAGGACCTTCGGGACCCGTCACACCCAGGACCTTCGGGACCCGTCACACCCAGGACCTTCGGGACCTGTCACACCCAGGACCTTCGGGACCCGTCACACCTAGGATCTTCGGGACCCGTCACACCCAGGACATGCACCGTTTGAGCACCTTGTTGTACGATGTTTAATTGTTACAGATTCCCAGTTAGATACAACTTTTTGCCCTGAGACGTTTTGAAGACGTAACAGTGTCCCAACAGTTTTCGTCTTCCTGTTGCAGAGAGAGGACATGGAAATCGTCTGTGAACGGTTCACCACCAGCAAACTCCAGAGCTTTGAGGATCTTTCAGCCATTGCAACCTACGGATTCAGAGGAGAGGTGATGTTCGCCGCCGCTGATGCCTTGGGGCAGTTCTGGGCGCTGAACGATTGTCCTCCATGTTTTGTCTTTTAGGCCCTCGCCAGTATAAGCCACGTGGCTCATGTAACCATAACCACAAAGACAGCAGACGCCAAGTGTGCGTTCAGGTATGATCAGTGTCTTAACGCCCTGGAGCCCACCTCACCAGATGAACTTGTATTATACATCACTTCTTTCTTCTTCAGAGCCAGCTACAGCGATGGAAAGCTCAAAGGTCCTCCCAAACCATGCGCCGGCAACCAGGGGACGCAGATCCTCGTGAGTTTGTGGAGCACGTCATCTAAAAACTGTTTCTGACGTCCAGGGACCAAACGATGGTGTCGTTTGCCCGCAGGTGGAGGACCTGTTCTATAACGTGTCCACCAGGAGGAAAGCCCTGAAGAGTCCCGGGGACGAGTACTCCAGGATTGTAGACGTAGTCAGCAGGTTTGTATTTTACTCCTCTGTCTAAAGAGTTCTGCTCGTCACGAACAAACCGATCTAATCGTGTTGTTTCTGAAGGTACGCGATACACAACTCTGGAAAAAGCTTCTCTGTCAAAAAGGTGAGGCGGGTTTTTGTTTTTTCCATTTCATTTTCATTTCACCTTTCTTTAACCAGGCATAAACACTAGGAACAAATTCTTATTTACAGAGCTGGCCTGGCAAGCCCCAACAGGTACTTTTAGGGTCCAGGGAAGGGAAACAGTACAGTTAGGCAACCTTAGATTGCAAAACATTAACACGATGTGAAAAGGACAGAGCCCCATCAATCCAAATTCCCAAATATTTATAAACTGTTACCTCTTCTATAATATCATTGTTTACAGCGGCGAAGTCCACCGAGGTGGGTATGGTTCCTCCTCCATGACTGAACTACATAAATTTAGTTTTCTTGGCATTTAAGGACAAATTTAAGTCGGAAAAGGCCTGCTGGGTTTCAAGAAAATCACAACCTCATCCGGAGTAGAACCAAAAGCATATAGCATATTGTCATCAGCATATAAATGGATGGAGGCCTCACTGACACAATGTGAGATATCATTTATAAATATGGAGAAAAGAGTTGGACCAAGAACGGCGCCTTGGGGTACACCTGACATAACCAAACGTAACTGTGAAGTATGAAAGTCAACCTTCACTTGCTGCGATCTATTCGAAAGATAATTACAGAACCATGTTAGTGGCTGTCCTGAAATCCAATACGGTGAAGTTGCTTCAGTAAAATGGAACCATCAGCTGAGTGGGTTTTGTTGTTTAAAATGACAAACTGAGCCGCAGGACGTTTGGAGGAAGAAACTTGTTGATTAAAAAATAAACTTCTTTTTTTACAGCAAGGAGAGACGGTGGCTGACGTGAGGACGCTGCCCAACGCGTCCGTCGTGGACAACATCCGAAGTGTTTTTGGGAACGCGGTCAGCAGGTAGTCTTGGACTCTAATACTTTACAATTTCTTCCTGTTATGTCAGGTGTACCCCAAGGCTCCATTCTTGGTCCCAACTCTTTTCTTAATGACATCTTGCTTCGCCTCGCCTGGCCGCTGACTGTCCGCTTCGGTGTGTGCGTTCTCAGGGAGCTGATTGAAGTGAGCTGCGAGGATCAGAAGCTCGCCTTTAAGATGAAAGGCTACGTCTCAAATGCCAACTACTTCATGAAGAAATGCGTCCTGGTCCTGTTCATCAACCGTACGTGAAAACCTTCAGGGGTGACGATAAAATGGACCCGTTAGAGTTTCAGCTGTGCTCGTATCGCTGCAGATCGCCTCGTGGAGTCGAGCGCTTTGAAGAAAGTCCTGGAGACGGTTTACGCCGCGTACCTTCCCAAGAACACGCACCCCTTCCTCTACCTCAGGTGACTAACGCGGGCGTTGATCTGCTCCTCGTGACGGTTCTGCTCATCTGATGCTCACCTGTGGCTCCCTGACAGCTTGGAGATCGCGCCGCAGAACGTAGACGTGAACGTGCACCCGACCAAACACGAGGTGCACTTCCTGCACGAGGACAGCGTCATCGAGAGCGTTCAGAAACACGTCGAGAGCAAGCTGCTGGGCTCCAACTCCTCACGCACGTTTTTCACTCAGGTATCTGCCGGACGTCTCGTTTTATTCTGACATGCTCTCAGTTTCATCCAGAACCGACCCGCGGGTCTTCTCTCCGCAGACGTTGCTTCCTGGGCTGCCGGTCTCAGGCGTGGCAGAGATAAAGACCTCGAGCACCGCAGAGTCCGCCGAGCGGGTCTACGCTCACCAGATGGTGAGGACCGACTGTCGCGCCCAGAAACTGGACGCTTTCCTAAAACCCAAGGACAAGAAGCCGCCCGGCCCAGAGGCAGCCGGAACCAGCGGCGGACGGACCGAGACCAGAACCGACCAGTCGGACTGCGTAGAGATGGAGGATGCAGATATGTTGGAGGCCGTTTGTGTGCATGAAGCACAGGGTCCAAAAGACACGGAGGAACCCGGGGTCCCTTCACAGGACGTCCAGAGGTGAGCGGTTTGATTCCTGACCAGATGTTCAAGTAAACAAAAAAGTTCCTGAGAGACAAAAAAGGTTTTACGGAAAACTAAGAGCAACTAGAGAAACTGCATTTCCTGTGAAAATGCAGTGTGAATGCTTATTGTAGAAGAACTTGCTGAAAAACAGCTGAAATTAGCTTAAAAAAACAGCTGAAATTAGCTTAAAAACAGCTGAAATTAGCTAAAAAACCAGCTGAAATTAGCTTAAAAAACAGCTGAAATTAGCTTAAAAACAGCTGAAATTAGCTAAAAAACCCCCAGCTGAAATTAGCTTAAAAACAGCTGAAATTAGCTTAAAAACAGCTGAAATTAGCTTAAAAACAGCTGAAATTAGCTTAAAAACAGCTGAGATTAGCTAAAAACATGTTGAAATGTAGATGAAATGGAGAAACAAGCCTAAATTAGCCGAACAAAGCAGAAAGAGCACATTTGTGCTGAATTAGGTTTAAATAAGCAGAAATTAGCACAAAAATTAGTGAATTAGCAACAAAAAAATCTGAAGTTAGCACACAGAAAAAATAGCTGAAAAGTAGCTGAAAAGGCAAAAAGAAGCTTAAGCTTAAGCGGAAAGAGCTGAAATGAGCTAAAATACGTGAAAAGCTAAAATTAGCACCATACATCTAAATAGTAGCTGAAATAGCAAAAAAAAAAAATGAAACTTGCATGACTAAGCTGAAAGGAGCACAACAAGCTGAAATTAGCAGAAAGAAGTTAAAAGAAACTAAAAATGTTTTAGTTAGCAGAAAGAATGTGAAAGGAGCACAAAGCAGCTGAAAAAAAAACCTGCTGGAATTAGCTGAAAGTAGCTGAAAAAGTTAAAATTTGCAGCATGAAGCTGAAGCAGAAGAAAATGTGAAAGGAGCAGTGAAAGTTTGTGAACACATCTAAAGATTTGAAGGAGGTAAAATGAGCTCAGTTCATTTTCTATGAGAAAAAAATGTCAGAAAAGGCTAAATGTTTCAAAAAGCTAAAGTTGCACCAATACCAAAAGTGTCAGCAGGATTGTTCTGAAAGAGCCGAACGTTTTATGATTTGTTGAAACGGCTCAAAAGTTGTGGAACGAGAAAGATGCTGAAAAACCTACGGAAGAAAAGTGGATGACGGTGAACGTTTCTTTATTCACACCGTCGGTTCTGAACAGAACCCTCTCGACCCGCGACTCCACGGAAATTAAACAGTTTAATTTTTACCGTTTTTCCTGGTAAAATATAAAAAAAAACACCCGTGACAAATTTTAATGGAATTCCTGTTTGCATAAGAGTCGCTCGGGGAAGAATCTTGCAGCCGTTTCCATTTCCTACAAGTCGGATCAGGACCGGTGCTGAAGTGTGCTCGGGCCCAAAGCAAGTCTGAACACAAGCCTGCAGAGGAGCAGGAGGTTTTCTGCATGACATCACGGTCCTTCAGGCAGCGCACGTCAAGTTCAAACTTCTGCTGTTTTTCAGTTCCTCGTCTTTTTGTTTATTTCAAATCACGACCATCTGTTTGTTTGTTTGTTTGTTTTCACGATCTGAGGGTTTTATGGGTTAAATAACACTTCCTGTTTGTCAAACGGTGGATTTCTTCTGCCCCCGAGTGGCAGAATCAACTCATGTTTTATTACATACTTCTGCTGTTTTAGCCATTCCTACATCAAAATGTTCGGCTCATGTAGCAGATGTCCGCTGAAGCTTTTGGTATAACTTTTATAATTTATCTACAAATATTTCTTCGTAAAAAAACATGGAGATTTCTTCAGCTGCTTCACAAACAGACCAGCTCTGGTTTGGTCATTTCATGCAACTTTTAGCTGCTGTTTAGTTCATTTTAGCTAATGTTAGCAACAATTTTGCTCATTTTATGTTTTAGCTTATGTTCAGAAATTTTAGCTAACAGATATGATTTCAGCTGATTTTAGATTTAACTAACTATTCTGGTCGATTTGACTTTTAGCTGCTGTTTATACTCTGCCCTCAAGCAGCTAAATGTTTTAGCTTAGCGACGGGACTCGTTAACGGTGTGGGAGATCGTGTAAACATTTTCTTGGTGTGTTTTTCTGGGAGGCAGGAAGCGACCGAGGACAGAGGAGGAGGAGGAGAAGCAGGAGGAGAAGCAGGAGGAGGTGACGGCTGCAGCTACACCCAGGAGAAGAGTGATGAACCTGAGCAGCATCAAGGAGCTGCGAGCTGAGATCACTGAGAAGACCCACAGAGGTACAACCTGAGCACGGTACTGAAACGAACATGTTCTAAAGCTTGGACCTAAAAGGAGAACGTGCACGGACCTTCTGTTCTTCTAAACGGTCCGACTCTGCTGCGCCGCTCGGTTTGTTCCGTCACCATTCGAGAAAAGTGGGGGAACGTTATTTTGTTGCCGTGACAACAGAACACCAGCAAAACAGTTTGCCGCTCTGGTTTTTGTAAATTCCACTTCCTTTTATTCGGGTCACGTTGGTTCAAAAGATAAAAGCGACGAGCGCTCCTTGAAGGAGTGCACGTCGCCCGCCGCATTCCGTGCCAGAGTTTTAGCTCGTGTTGAGAAGAGACGGGAGTTGTAGCCTTTTCACTGAATGGCTGAAGTGGGGAATTTTATATAAGTTCCTGTAAAACTGACAATTAAAGCTGTTGCAGGGGTTGCTTAGCGGTGGCGGCCATCTTGAATTGGGTTAATCAGTTGTACAACTTTTTAGTTTTTAAATTTGGATCAGAGCAAAAATACGACGAGCGGATCACGAATCAGACGTTTGTCCCGTTTGTGTCCAGGTCTTCAGGACATGCTGCAGAACCACTCGTTCGTGGGCTGTGCCGACCCCCAGTGGACTTTGGTCCAACATCACACCAAGCTGTACCTGCTGAACTGCACCCGGCTCAGGTCTGACCTTCAGGATCTCGGGTCCAGCTCGCCCGTTTCACCTCGACTCGTTTTATTTTCTTCTTCTCTTCCAGCCAGGAGCTCTTCTACCAGATACTCGTCTACGACTTCGGGAACTTCGGCGTCCTCAGATTGTCTGTAAGTGGACCTCGCGCTGCGGCCGTGCTGACCGTGAGACGCGGTCTTTAGCAGGGTTCGTTTGGTTTTCAGGAACCGGCTCCTCTTTACGACCTGGCCATGTTGGCTCTGGACTCGGAGGACAGCGGCTGGACGGAGGAGGACGGTCCTAAAGAGGGTCTGGCTCAGTACATCGTGGACTTCCTGAAGAGGAAAGCGGAGATGCTGGAGGATTACTTTTCTCTGGAGATAGATGAGGTCAGCTGAGACGGGCTTGGACCCGTTACAGGGACATTCTGTCGGCTACTGTTTGTTAGCGTTAGCGTGTTCAGCTGCTCGTAGCTCATGTTTGAAACGCCTGTCCTCCACAGGAAGGGAATCTAACGGGACTGCCGCTCCTTCTGGACAGGTACACCCCGATCATGGAGGGACTCCCCATGTTCGTCCTCCGCCTCGCCACAGAGGTCAGCCCCATCGTCGCCTTGTTACACCGTCACCCGCCAACGGAAGGCGGACGACACGCCACGCTTCGAAACAGCTAAACGTGCGGTTCTGTGCTGCAGGTGAACTGGGACGAGGAGAAGGACTGCTTCAGAGACTTCTGCAGGGAGTGCAGCTCTTTCTACTCCATCAGGAAACGGTACATCCTGGAGGCGGAGCCTGGGCAGGAACAGGTGAGGGGGTGGGGCTGAACGTCCTGCGACACCCGACGACGTCGCCGACTGACGGCTCGTTTTCTGGTTTCAGGACGCCGAGGTGAACTCGTGGCGCTGGAAAGTGGAACACGTGATCTTCAAAGCTTTTCGGACCCTCTTTAGTCCTCCGAAGTCCTTGAGCGAGGACGGTTCTGTGCTGCAGATCGCCAACCTGCCGGATCTGTACAAAGTGTTCGAACGGTGCTGAGCAGAAAACGCGACTTCACGTCTGTAACGACAGAGTTGTAAATAAACAAATATGTAAATAAGACCGACGTTCGTCTGTGGACCAAGAAAACTGGATTATGGACCGTGGAGTTTAAAATCATCTCCGTGACCACCAGGGGCCCAAACCATCGGCCCTCCACCACCGTGCTCTACAGTTAGGAACCGTGGCGTGACGTAAAGAACAGGTTCTTGTGAACTGCGTGGACCGGTCCAGTCCGGTAGTTTTACAGGTATACCTGCAAACTTGTTGCTTTTTGGTGAAAATCGCTGTTTTAAATAAAAAAAATCTGTCATTTGTGTGAATAGTCTTGATCTGAAGAGTTTTTCTGTTGGGGGGTCAGAGGCAGATGGTAGAGGTCCATCAGGTCCAGATGACATGACTGAACATTGTTGGATCATTGAGCTGAACCTTCAGGTAGATTTCCCAGTTTGGGTTTATGTAGCGCTAAGCTAGCTCCACGTAAGTCACAGCAAAGCTTGGGCTAGCTAGGTTTCATCCCTTGAGTTTGCAGGTTTGAGATTTGTTGATACGAGGGTCTGCACTCGATGTAAACAAACATCTGTTTTGCTGAACATGTGGAAACACGACGGACACCAGGCTGGCTGTCCGCGGGGGGCGGAGCGAGTTCAGCCACTTCGGCTGTTTCCTGTAGACAAACCTGTTGTTGGCTGATGGTCATTTTTAATTTACAGACGTTCTGTCATTTTGTAAAAATTATTTTTATTTTTTAGTCTTCACGACTTTGCGGAGAAACTTTAAACCGATTCAAAATGGCCACCACAGCTAATGAACCTTAGCCAACACAGAACAGCTGCAGCTCAGTCAGGTTTACAGATGCGGAGCTAAAGTTTGGTGTGGTAGTAGCCGAGGGTCATCCTCAAGAACTCTTGGATCACGGGAGAAAGAGCTTTGTGTTTGACCGGAACAGCTGTAGCTCCGCCCCTTTAGATTTTAAACTGAAAGGCGGCGGGCGATCATGTTCCTTCGTTTTTGTTGTTTCCTGGGAAGATCCTCAGCTCGACGATTGGCAGTTTGAAAATGGCCGCCTCAGACCGAGGGGCAGGAAGTCACTCCTGAGGTCATTGCTGATGTAGTTCCACCTTGGCGTTGGGTTGACACACCTGTACGCTCCGGCTGCCTCGAACCAAATTAATGTTTAAATATTTTTTTATTTTTAAATGCAAGAAAAATCTTTGTCGCCCTCCAAAACCGAGCGAGTGTTGAAAAACTTTTTAAACATCGGGAGTTTACCGACCAAATCAAATCTGGGTTTAAACTAATTCAGGCTTTTCAACGTTTATTTTAGCCACTGAAATAATTCTTGTACAAGAAAAAAGATCCACAGTTCTGTAAATGATACTTTTATTTTTCAGAAATCTTTTAAATATTTGAAAAAAATCAAAGAAACTGCAGGAGACGAGAGTTTTTATACACTTTTCAAAACATTTTTTAATAATATATCGTACCTGTTAAAATAATTCTGGTTTCGTTGAGCCGTGCAGGCCCCGCCCCCCTCCACGCTCCCAAAGTGGAAAAAGGCACTTGGCTGTGAGGGAAGCTGGGGCAGCGACTCGGAGCAGCAGAAAGACTCGATAGTTTCAGAAGCGTCTTTAAACCCGTTCATGCAACACGTCAGAACACCGCCGAGCACCCGGACCGGAGCGACTCAAGTCCCGGATCACAAGCTGGAGTAGAAAAGTCTGAAAAAATAATTAAATTAAAGAAATCTCCCAACATCTTTTAGATTCGTTCGTCTTCTGAGCGTTTCCTCCCACAGATGTTTCCTTTCAAAGAGTTTCTCTGCTGCAGCTAGTTTTTGGTTATTTACATGCCTCAAAGTGAAAACACGAGTGTCGACGCGACGCTGCGCTACCGCGCGGCGGTGTGAGTCCCAGGGCTGCCGCCTCACTGCTGCGACAGAAGGGCGTTCCGGTTGGCCTTCATCTTCTCCAGACGCTTCACCAGGTGCTGGTTGGTCATCTCCATCTCCTCGATCTTATCCAGAGCCGTGCGCAGCTGAGAGGAGACGGGGGGAGGGGGGTTAAACCTTCGGCTACACATGAACAAAAAAAGCCGAAGTGAAGCTCCAACCTCTCTCTGAAGTTTCCGTTTCTCCGCTTTGAGCTCGTCTTCGATCTTCTCGGCGCTGTCGGAGGCCGCCTTGTACCGGGACACCTGCCCTTCAAGTCTGCTGATCTAAAAACAGAGAATCTTTCAGCTTCACGTCTCGTTAATTTAATTGATTATTAATTTAATTGTCGACTCGTAGACGTGACTCACATTTTGCTCCATTGTGCCCATTTCCTGCTCCGCTTTAGAAAGTTTAAACTTGTATTCACTGATCTGTCTGTTGGCGTCTCCTGCGGAGGAAAACCAGATGAAAACAAATCAGTTCAGTCGCTTCACATTTGACTCGTGTCGGACGTTTATCAGTCAAAATTTATTTATTTTTTTTAAATCAGCCCAGCTCTCTTCTTTCATACAAGTCTTCTGCGTAAAGGACGGGTCTTTAGTCTAAAAGTCCCCCCAGACTCCCCTCGGCTCCTCAGGCAGGAAATTTCCAGAGCCTCGGTGTGTGGACCAGAAAACCTCTTGAGGTTCTGGTTCTGCTGTGTGGAACTAGGCCTGTCGCGATAAACGATAAATCAATTAATCGCATGATGAGTTAAAATTATCGACCTCTTTTTCATTTATCGGCTTTATCGTTTCTTCATGTCTCTCTCTTTCTACTGAAGACAGAAGGGAGGGAAGGAGGCGTGGGAGGGCTGTACGGACGCCGGAGGTATGGCCCCAGGACGCCGACCGATTGAAGGCTAAACGACTTTCAGATGTGACCCCAGGAGGGACCTGGAGCCACAGCTGGGGAGATCTGCAGGAAGGGCCCGAGTGCGTCCGGAAGCGCCGCACGTGCCCAGCCATGCTTCGCACCCCAGCCTGCCCCGACCGTCACTAATCTCTGAGACCAGGACCAGAAGGACACCCACCAGGACACCCTGCTCACACAGGAGCCCGGCACGCACCACAGTTGTGGGGATCCATGAGATGGGTCCGACCCTGTCAAGTCGCACCTGCCCCGCTTCTCAGCATCCTCCCGCAGTTCTGCCTCCCAGCCAGTTGCGAAACAACATCACCGTGGAGCTCACACCCCGAGCCGCCGGCGCACACAGGGTGCGCCGTCAGCCACAGAGGGGGCAGCCACGGAGCGTGCCATGAACCAGCCTAACGGCAATACGAGGTGAGTGCGAGGACGGAGTCAGCTCCTCACAACAGCACGTGCCCAAACACACTTCACACCACAGCACGAGCGACCCTGAACTCCGAGACGAGCATATAAACCTTCTCATAGTGGATCAACCAGTTTGCTGGTGACATCCAGAACCAGCTGTTCACGATGAAGGAGGACCATCAGTCTAACGACCGACTGTTATTGCCCTGAAGGCCGCTTGCTATTCACAGAGGGCTGAGTGATACTAGCAATAACAGCGTTGTATAAGGGCGGGGGACAGTTAGACACGGAGGCTCCGCCCCTGTGTAATGATGGACAGGTTCTCCTCACAAAGACGGCCTCCTTCACTTTTCTCTCAAACCATCGTTCCTCTCCATCAAGGACGTGAACATCGCCATCCCTGAAACGGTGACCTCTGACCTGCAGAGTGAACGTCGATGAATGAGAAGTTTTGAAGAAGCCGTTCTGTTAAGCTCGGGTCAAGTCAAACCCGAACGTTTGACACCAAACCTGCGGCTCGACTGGGAACAGTTCGAGAAGCCGTGTGACGCACATCGTAGACAAAACTCACAAAAAACAGATAAAACACAACGAAGCTCGATGGATTTAGGTGAAACTCGGTGAAATATTCTTCAGTAGAAGTACAAAGCGTAAAAACGCTCGTTTCACTGACCGTGGCTGTCCCTCCACGGCCGTGACAGGAAGTGAACTTACTCTGCATCTCGATGATGTGCAGGTCCGTCCCGTTCTCCATCTTCTCCCCGTCGGTGTAGGCGCCGTCCACCTTCGGGTGTTTCTGTCGCTCCTCCTCCAGCTGGTTCTTCAGCTTCCTGATCTGAGCCAGCAGTTCCTCCTTCTCCTCGGCCAGCTTCAGTAGCCTCACATCTACGATACGCACAAAACGTTCAGCCGACGCTCCGACAAATCCAACAAACGTTAAATAAACCCCGCCCCCCACTGACCCAGAGGACCCTCTCCTGCCGACTCCAGGACCTGGGCGGCCTCCTGGGAAACCAGAGTGATCCCCGGGGAAAGAGGGTCGTGGCTGACGTCTCCGTTCGGCGTTCCGTCCGGGATGATGACCAGCCCGTGTTTCTGAGATGAAAAATGAAAAACAACTTTTTGAACGAGGTCACAGAGCAGCTGATCGAATAAAAACATGTGATTACTGTCGGAGGTAAATCTGGCTTTAGATGATTAGAATCGACGTTTAAACGACAAAAGTCTAATTTGTTGAAGTTAATCGGATCTGCCACTTTCAGAGTCTTGAGTCGTTGCTGCAGTTTGTCCCAGTAGAGCTACCGTAGTGTCCAGTGAAGACAATCTGTAAATTAATATTAGTGAACAACGACTTGTGCATCACCAGTGATCAACACAATGCTAACTGCGTTAGCTTTTCTAAGGGATTTTCAATGTTAAGTTAGCATCTATGCTAACTGTTGCTTGTGGGGTTTTGACACGTTTGTGCACTTTTCATTAAAAATCTATAAACTAGTTTATGTAAAATAAGCCACATTATTGATTTTATAAACCCATTACAGCCCTCCGAATCGTAGTCAAACTCAGAGGTGCATAAAAGTTCCCACCATGACCGTCTGAACTGTAAAAAATTAAAATAAACGGATCGTTCGGCCATTTTGAAGTAGACTGAATAAAAGTTATAAATAATCAATAACCTAATACATAACCAATCTCCATCCTATATTACAGATCTTATTGTTCCATATTTTCCTAACAGAGCACTTCACTCTCAGGCTGCAGGTTTACTTGTGGTTCCTAGAGTTTCCAAAAGCAGAATGGGAGGAAGATCTTTCAGTTCTCAGGCTCCTGTCTTGTGGAACCAACTTCCAGTTTCTGTCCGTGAGGCTGACACATTGTCCAGTTTGAAGACTTTTGTTTATGATAAATCCTATAGTTAGAGTTGGCTTGGGTTTCCTGAGCTATCCCTTAGTTATGCTGCTTATAGGCTTAGACTGCTGGAGGACAAACTGACCACATTTCCTCACTCTGTCTTTACTTGCTCTACTCTCCATGTTTCTATTTCCTTTTCTTCCCATAGGAACCACACCTGGACCATAGGAACCACACCTGGACCACTTCCTGTTTGCCTCCGTTTTTCCTCTCCAAGTCCAGAGGCAGATGGCTGTCCATCCTGGTTCTGGTTCTGGTTCTGCTGGAGGTTTCTTCCTGTTCAAAGGGAGTCATTTCTTTCCACCGTCTCCAACGTGCTGCTCAGGAAGCGAAGATTCAAACGACCTTCCGGCTTCCTGAGATAAATAACTTTTACTGATTGTCGTTTTTCAAAGTATGCGAGTGTCTTTGTGCCCTGAGACGACCTTTGATGTAAATCGGCGCTTTATAAAACTAAACCGAACATTTGACAACGACGGGACGTTTTCTGAACCAATGGCCAACTTTCTTTCAACCGGGGTGTCAAAACTTCAAAGACGTTTAAGACGTTTCTCTGAATTGAACACCCGATCGAACTGAATGAATGAGTGAAAGACTTCTGCAGAACTCGAGGACAACGAGTGAAACATGCAGGTGGGGGCCCTTCAGGACCAGGATCTGGCACCATGCAGGGTGGGGGCCCTTCAGGACCAGGATCTGGCACCACGGCTGTAAATGAATTTCCACTACAGATAAAACGTTTCATGGCCATCAAAATGAGCAGCTAAGAACAAAACCGTTCAAAGATCAACACCGGGGTGAAAAACTTTGCTTCAACCAAAAGAAAACGGTTTCCAGTAAACCTCTGACGTTTGGGTCCTGCTGGGTCTGAGTGGACCTACCTCTCCTGCTTTGGACTTCCCCTTGATGTCGGCGAGCTCATCTCTGAGCTCGTCCCTCTCCTTCCTAATGCAATCAAAGTACTCTTTCTGCCTCTCTAAGGCCTGGCCACCACAGGAAGACAAGAAAGAAAGAAGAGATTGGATGGAAACTGGACACACATGCAACAGCACCACACACACGACGTGCACAGACATGCAGCGAGCCGAAACAATCTACGAACAACACGCTCAAACACGAGGCTAAAGGGCGCGGGGTCAGGTCATTTGACAGAAAGGTCATCCTCACGCAGCTTAAAGTTAAAACTACAAATCTGCTCTAACGAGTCAAGTCACGACAATCTGACGTTTTAATCCGCAGGTGGAGCGTGCACGTCATGCTCGTGTTTAGACCACTGCACTTCTGGATCCAAACTCTTCCTTTGACATGCAAAAGCCCAAACTGTGCACGTGACCAGGTGCGGTCATCTACTCATTAACGGTCTCCGTCATGCAGAGGCGGCGGTCGGCGGAACAACACGACCGACCGCCGCCTCTCACTCCGAGCGCCAGGCTGGGACGTCCTACCGCCATCTTTTTGTCCTTCCAGTTTATGGTCTCCTGCAGGTCAAACACCTCTCTGGTGAGGCCGTCTAACTTAGTCTGCATTCGCTGGCTCTCCTGGAGCGGCACGAGCGATGAGAAGACGACAGCACGGGACGAGGACAAAACAGGGAAGGAGAGGACGGAACAAAGGAGAGGAGGATAAATATGGAGTGAGACAAAGAGACAGCCGGAGAAACGGAGCGAACTGCTGAGAGTTTAACGGGACAGATGAAGAGGCGGGCGGTGAATCCTGCAGAACAGAAGCTCTCCTGCAGGAGGACGCCCTCGCTCCGCAGGAGGACGCCCTCGCTCCGCAGGAGGACGC